AAAGTTTAGGACTTTGTTCAATGGCGATCTTGTTGATTCAACACCATATTCAAGTTAAAAATTTTCTATATGAGTTGCTGTTTGTGACTATCGGTTGAATTTTCCAATTTTTATATGAATGAACGGATGTCTTTTAATAAAACTAATATGACATTATACTTCCGTGTTCAGGTTTTAAATTTTTGTATTATTTTTATGTCGTAACCCTAAAAGGTGATAAAGTGTTGTTGCAGGCGATGATGTTGAATGTTGAATATTAAAATTCAACAATTGTTATTTACTGGAGCACCTTCAAATCAGTTTCTTTTTGTAAAATAAACCTTGCGTGAGTCGGGACTGGAAAGAGTCAATTCTATAGTGACACACAGTAACTTTATGCGGAGGACAGAGATACTCGCTGTAGTAGCTCTACGACTTTCTCTCTCTCTCTCTTCTCCTCTCTCTCTCTCTCAGTTGCCCCACTCCTTCTCTACTCCTCTCTCTCTCCTCTGTCCGTCCTACTTTCAGTAAAGACCCTTTATACAAACTGTGCTTAAGGGAACAGTTACAAATTATTGTCGGTCCAAAAGGTTGTTCTAAATCATCAGTAACACTAAGGTCAGGTGCAAAATAATTGTTTTTCTTGACAATGTTATCTGTGTGCTAATACTGTGGCCAGGCAGGTGGAAACATATTGTCATTCTTACAGAGAATCAATCAATCAATCATTCATCAATCAATGTTTATTATATATAATTTATATAGCCCAATATCACTAATGTTATATTTGTCTCAGTGGACTTCACAGTTTGTACAGAATATCAGTATGACAATACGACACCCTCTGTCCTTAAACCCTCACATCGTACAAGGAAACACTTCCAGAGAAAACCCACAGTTTAAAGGGGAAAATGGGAGAAACCTCAGGGAGAGCAACAGAGGAGGGATCCCTCTCCCAGGACGGACAGACGTGCAATAGATGCCGTGTGTAAATCGAAGAGATAATACATTTTACAGCGTAGGTAGTCCAAATGTTTGGAAATGCATGTGTCTGTAATAAGAAGATCAATCCACGAGGATAATCATAATAATAATAAATTCGATTTATAAAGCACCTTTCATTGCTCACAGCAATCCCAAGGTGCTAAAGGAGACATAATAAAAACAAACAAAATAAACAAAAGTTTAATCAAAAGCTTTTTTTAAATGTCAACAATCCTGTGGGAGCCATCAGGGAAGTAGTATGATGAGAGTCAGGCAGGACCGCAGAGACAGGTTCAGCCAAGACTCGAAATCCAGGACTCAGGATGCAGGACTCAGGATGAACACACTCATTTCTGTTATACTTAACATGACATGTTACAGCAGTGTAGAGCTTCAGCTGTTGCAAAACAAAGTGGTATGAAAAGATTTGGTTAGCATTGCTTGCAGGGATTTCCAGTACATTTACATGTTGCTGCAAATGGAAGATCTGAAGTCCCTAAACACAACAATGTTCCTGTTGTTTTCTGCTTCAGCTTTGTAAGATTTTTTTTTATCTTAGTCTTTTATCACTGACAGTCATAACAACCAGGCTGTGTTTTTTTCCATTTCACTTATCAGAAGAAATGTTCTGCAAACACCAAACACAGCAGATCAGACAAATAATGTTTTATAAAAGAAGAAGAAAAAGGTCCCAGATGAGGAGAGGGACGGGTTAAAAAAAGGAACTCCACATTTTTAGTAAACCATTCAAAGTGCCTTCCTGTGAATTGTATCTGTTTTGCATCTGGCATCACTCTGCAAACAGCGGCTCATTCTGGTGCCGTAACAGGCAAATCAGCACTGTTTTGCATTGCTCAGAAAGACTGCTTATTCAGCTATATTTAGCTCACCAGCAAAAACAAACAAACTAAACCTATTTTCTACACTTCTGTCTTAGTTATGTGAAAGAACTACACACAGAACAATATCATTTTTATCTAAACACGTGTCACCAGTCCAAAGCAGTGTAACATTCCTTACAGCATAGCTAACATACCATGTCAAAAATGTAGAACAGGAAAAGGGAAAAAAAAGAATTAAATATCGGAGGAACGCATCACAACTTCTTGTCAACTACATTTTGGGTAAACAAGTAAGTTGTCATCAAAATGTACTACTAATCAGTGCTGGAATATTGTGTGAAAAAACAACAAAAAGAACAACACTCCTTCAAATTAACACAGCATATAAACCATACCAGTCCTAAATAAAAAAGACAATAAAGTTAACTTTGACTAAACACTATAACATCTCTTAAATGTTTTAAAACTAATCATCTTAAAGCACAGGTGAACAGAAAACACACTTGTTCAAATCAGTTTGGTTTCCCTTCCTTCTACTTCCTTGTTTTTCTCTTCTCCCTTCCTCTCTTTTAAATTCATATAGTGACATTGGGTACTTTTGTACTTCTTATTCAATAAGCTCCAAAAGTACCTAAGGAGGGGTTATGTTGACAATGGCCGGTTAAGTAGTACAAAGTGGTAGGCAGGACTTTCACATCTCTCTGGTTTCGTATTATGGTGAGAAGTAGGTCCAACCTCTGATATATACGGCTCTATTTTAATCCCGTCACCTGATTGGGCGGCACACCAATGACGTCACTCTCTCAGACGCGCGCTTCCCTCATGTGCTCAACTAAAAAAAGTTTGAGCCGTCATGCATCAGCGTGCAGGACAGGTGACACCCCCATCTATACATAGCAGACACACGAGGTTTTCATTTATTTATCCAGAGTCATAGATGGTATTTATAGTTATTACTCACATAATTGTTTTCTTATTAATGTAGTTATCTCAGCTATCTTGACTTACACAGATAAGAGCCATGTTTCTTACTGAACAGAGTAGACTCCCTGATCCTGTCAAGAATTCTAGTTTAACTCAGTGATTCATACGACACATATAATACTGTATATGATATGACTTGGAGGAAAAGGACATACTAATCTGCAATATATCTCTGAAGAGTTTGAAAAAATATGTTTAAAGAAAATAAACTTGGTTCAAACAATGATAGAAAGGCTTAAAAAACAAATAAGAAAGGAAACATAAATTGTAATATAGCAGTGTAGCAGTTAGTATGGGATTCATAAATACACAGTAAAAGTATATGATTGATATGATTGGCACATATGTTGGTCATTAACGTTATAATGAGGGAATGAATGGATCTTGTAATTATTATTGATGTAAAAAAACAATTTCACAATTAAGAGTGCACATTTACGGCCTAAGAGAGTCAGACACTTTATTGCCGTTATTTCTTATGTTTTCACACAGTACAGGGTTCACAATTTAGGTTGCAATCTTTGCGATTTTAATGATGAAATCTTTTCAGTTTCCATGACAGCAGGACCCCAAAAATAACTGACTGATTTATGATCTATAATTTAAATCTACAAAATCCCCTGCACTATACGGGGAAAATCCCTGTTAAAAAGTAGGGGTGGAAAGTAATTAAGTAGGCTACATTTAGTCAAGTACTGTATACTTGAGTAGATTTTGGAGGTATTCATACTTTAATTGAGTAGACCTAGGAGTATAACAATTAAAGATAAAATCCACCTTGCAGCTGCAAAATGAAGACTGTCAAAAATTAGACCGGAGCAATATAATATGTATTTTTTCAAAAATAGCCAGTATACATAATGAGTAGGCCTACTTTTAGTTTTGGTATTTAGTATTTGAATGCTAATACTTTTGTACATTTTGAATGCAGGATCTTTACTTGTAATTGAGTATTTTTACACTATACTTAAGTAAGATATATTCTTACACCTCTGTTAAAAAGTCCCTTTAACCATATGAAACTGTGTGTTATTTGGGGGAGCCCCTCAGAGCCCCCTACAGGTCCCCCTCAGGTACCGGAGCTCCTCAGCCTGCCGGTGGCAGCAGGAACCGCAGCAGGATGATGAGCGCCATGCGCCATATTGCGCCGGGTTGCACTGAGGAAGGGGAAATCAGCCTGTGAGCTTCGGACAATCATCTCCTCTCCACACCTCACCAGCTCCGGTAAGACTTTGGATATCCCATCTCTTTTCCTGACTGCAGCATGCAGAAAAGCGAGGCAAAAGCTGTGCACAAATACAATCAACACACACTTTTTTCCCGGCGCACTTTCTGCTGGCTCTGCACAAAGACGTACTGTAGCCTAAATCTCACAACAGGTGTCTGTAGGATTAGAGTGAGGATGACTGCATCGTTGAGGAAACTCCCACACAAAGAGCAATATAACTATTACAGTCTGACATTAAATACAATGAATCTGTGAACAGTTTTACGATTTGTTTTTTTATTGTCAAACATATGTCTATGCAGATCAAAGAGCTGGAATTACTCGTTTCCCTGTCGCTGTGGGTGTGAACGCTGTTAACCCACAACATAGACGTCACTTTACCGTGGAAAAATGCCCTGAAAATCATCACATTATTATATCTATGGGCATTATTACCACCTCAAAAGGTTATTTGTGACTAGGACAGAAGCCCCTACCGTTAATGTTATCTTTCGTGTAGGAACATTGTTTATTTTTGACTCTTAATGCAATTGTTGTACTCGAAACTGAGGTGTGACTCTCGGAGAATTGGGTTGTGGGTTTTTTAACAACCTAAAGCGTCAAATTAAAGGATTAAAAGCGGGCAGGGTGGGGAAATAACTTTATCGTAGCTAGTGGGTGAGGCACTTTGAGTACCACATTTAACCTGCCTAGACGTAGATGATTCAACAGTGTCAAGGTAGAACACAACACCAGCGCTTCCGGTGTTATATTTCAGAATAAAGTGTTGGGCTGAAATTAACACTGAATTAGATGATGTTTGATATATAGAATAAGTCTTAAATGACTGCAAACAATTACAAAAATATTGTTTAATGTGTATGTCAATGCACATTAAATAGTATACATTAAATGTGATTTTAAATCAATCTTAGTTTTGGACAAGGACTTTGAAAATGTCTATTGTTATGTATTTTTTTACAATGTGGCACAGTTCATGATCAAAGGATTTAATGAAGACATAATTGAGATATGAATAAATATTTGAAACACCCTTTTAGCCCTATAGTTCTGGTATTTGAAGTACCTGACCATATTTCTTTTATAGTGTTGAAGTTGTTAAAGGTAACATTTCTAATTTTTGTGTGGATGTCCAATCAGTGTTCATGTTAAATTAAGTCACTTCAAGTAGTTAATTCCCTAATGCATTTTATATTGATCGACAAGCAGTTCCCTACATGTACCAGCATGCATTGCGTGCAAGCTGCTGAAATTATTTTAAAAAACCAGCCACTGAACACATAATAAATCACAGAGAGTAAAACAACTACAAGTGATAAAACATAAAATCACATAAAAACTATTCTAAAAAAGTGGATTTCTAAGAAAGTGATTTCAAAGTCCTGATCAAGTAAAACAATGTTTATGGTTGGAATACAAAAATGGTATTGGATCAAGTTTAATGTAGTCAAAATTGGACAAATAATCTCAGAATTTGTAAAGTGAAAGAATTAGAGATTTATCAGAAGTTACCAGCTCTTATTTTGAAGTTCAGTCGGGTGCGCTTCCGGTGTTGTGCTGCTGGCTGTCGGTGATTCATCTGATGACTCTCGCCGCAGGAGTGCCGCTCTCAGCAGGGTTTAAGTATCGCCGAAGAGACTCAAACTCGTTTCTCTTCTTTCTCTCTTTTCAGGAAGGCACACGGAGCTCTGGTCTCTCCTTTGGAAACACTTTTTTATTTAACAGAGCGAGGAAAAAGACAGAAAAATGCCTAAAGCGGTGAGTTACACTTTTCATTATTGATGTTTCACTCAATGCTCTTCACATCGCTGCCTTTTTATGTGCTTAACTGAAACTTGACATGTGATGAAACTTTCCTAAAATATTCTGTTTGCGGTAGGATTTGTAAAATGTAATATATTTAGAAATTGGACAATTTGTATGAGTACTTTTAGGCTACTTTTGGTACTTTAAGTATATATTTTGATGCTAATACTTCTGTACTTTTACTTGTAACAGAGTATTCCTCTACTCTTGTACTTCTGAGTATTTCTCCCTCTGACTAATTTAATTTATTGTACGACAACTTAGGTTTTGGTAATGTGAAACAGTCAATGGCAGCATATTGATACTGATGAAGAATATTCTATTTAGTTTGAAATGAGTGAGTCATTGAATCAGGTTTCATTTGTTCAGGTCTGAAAGGTCAAAGCCTATGTTTGGTTATAAACCTTTTGTCTTATTTGGGGAAAAATATATCATAAATCACTTCCTGGGAGTGACAGATGTAAAAGTGATGCTGTCAGAGTAGTTTCACGCTGAGTAATAATCACTGTGAAACATTTGTCATGTATTTAACTTGTCACTGCTTTTAAAGTCTAAAGCCAGAAACAAAGTACAGGCTTTACATTTAACATGAATATTTATTGGGGCTAAATGAAAACCAGAAACATGTCATTTTTCCTGGTCTTCATGTGCATTATTTGTCTTAGAAACGTATATAAGTAGGGTCTGACGGGGAAACTCAAATCACATGCTTGTTATATCCTGGGGGTGTCCCATATGTTTCAGTGCACATCATCCACTTGTGCTAGGAACAGTGATTGTGAAACTTATAATCTAGACATGGACAGTTAAGCACTGTTTCAATGTTAAACACTGTAGGCGATCATAATCACAGGATCTGTATCTTTGACCTCATCCTCTGTAATGATGTACAACATGATAAACAGCGGGGGTGGAAAATGTCATGTTTATATCCTCAGGAGTTCGTGATGAATACCGGGTTCTCCCTTCGTCTCTTGAAGTTATTTTCTAGGCTGAAATTTGAGGTTGCTCCTCACTTAAATGTTGGGTTCACAAAGTCAACTTGAAATCTTGGAAACTTGGAAAAACATTGACTTACAGTTCACGGTATCAATGAGTTTCATCTTTATACAAAAGCAAGACAAAAGGAGATGTTATTTGAAGAAACTGTTTTATTTGAACAGGTTTTTGGCCCTCAATTATTCCGGACTCGTTTTGCCCCACCCCTGGGATTATGACATACTTTCTGTCACACGTGCAGCATGTCACTCAGTCAGCTCGCTGTGTGGACATTTCTAGAATAACAGCCTATGTGTTCCACAGTATTGAGGAAAATACGAGACAAATGTGTTATAGTTGGATATGAATAAAACTTACTGCCTTAAAGTAAAAATCTCTATCCTTCTTTATTTAAAAACTAGAATACAAGAGATTATGCTTTTTGGGGGTTTGCTTTCCTCTAGTGTGTTACATAGGGTTGTGTGCATGTAAATGGTCTGAAAAGGCTTAACATCCCAAAGTTCCCTCCCACCACACGTGTGCCCCGCCCCCCCCCGCCGAAAGGGCGCCGCCCGCGGTGTTGGACGCCGCGTTGTGTGTTACCTCCATGAACAAATGAGAAGTGACATCACTATGTCACACTCAGGCTTCTATTGGCTAGCGCTCCAACACATTGTACATGATGGGCTAAGGGGCGGGACATCTCTAAGCGGTTGACCAATCGCAGCAGAGCCGGCCAGCTAACCAATCAGAGCAGACTGGGCTCTGGTTTCAGACAGGGTGAAAAGAGGTGCTGCAGAATGAGACAAAAATGGACTCTTTGAACATTACAGCATGTAAACATGTCACAGTAGAGGCACAACATCTTATAATGAAACCTGAAAATGATCTTTATAGGGCCCCTTTAAGTCTTAAGATGCTTAAACAGACAGTTGCTCAGTAAAACATGTCAGAGAGAATTACAATGGGAGACATGTTAGGGAAAAAACTAAAACCAGAAGCATAAACAGCTGCTTGAACACGGCTCAGACCATCACAGAAAGAAGCAGCATCTTTGTGGTGACATAAAGTCAAGCACCGGTCAGTGTCATAAAGTGTGCTGTCGGTTTGTTTAGAAAAGGCCTCATGGTTGTCATGAGCATTGCCGTGGAAATGACATCATTACTGTCTGATAGCGGCCGGGTCCAGCTACCACAAAATAGCCGTCTTTTTCAACACTGTTTCCCTTTCCATGATATCCAGAGAAGACTACAGGCCATGCTTTTTAAATCTTACCCTCTGGTTTACTGAGTGTTCAATATGTGACCTCATGACTGAAGCAGCTTTTGCAACTTAATATCAATAGGACACTAAGTCTGTTTTAATGAAAGTTGCTCCTTTTGATCTGGTTTCCACCTGTTTCCACCTTCCTCTCAAAGTAATCCAGCAAATGCTGAGTTTCACTTTGAGCCTGGTTATACATACGGGTTCATATTTTGAGTTCTGTGAGAAGTGTTAAATTGGATTACTAGTCTAACCAGCTTCAGTGGCTCCAGGCTGTAGCTGAAACATGTTAGTGTGGGAGGCAGGGGATGGTGCCATGATGGTGAAAAGAAACCCTAAACTACAGTCAGATACACCTGGTACTTTGGAGCCGCATTTTGGGAGTACTTTAATATTGATTTAATCTGCTGATCATTTCCTCGATGACTCCATTAATCGTTTATACTTTACATTGTTTGAATATATTTTGCATTTGCTATTTCTCCAAGCGCACAGCAATGCCTTAAATGTACTTGATTTGTTCAAAGATATTAAATTGACTGTTTTTTTATTACAATAAAAATAAGCACATTCTTAATTTGTTTGGCATTTTGGTTTAAAAAAACCCAAAAGAGATAAATTGATTATCCAATAAGTTGAACAATTATTCAAATTGAAGCCTTATGTTAATTCCCTACCCATATCTATAGTATCATTTCAAACATTAAATATACATTTGTGAAATGGAGATGTTAAATACATAAATGTACTTTTTAGCTTCCAAGACTATCTGTATTCATTTCATGGTCATAATGTTTGCCGTACATCAAATGAAAACCATTCAAAGGTTATTACCAGATGAAGGTATTTTTTTATTAGTTTGTCAAGAAGCTGTAGGCCATGAAAAGCAAATATCAAACAGAATCAAAGTGCCTTACGTTTGAAGCAGACTGGCACAGAAACCTCCCGGCAGTCTGATTATTACAGCTCAGATACCTGGCATGAAATCAAACATTCCAACATTTTTTGAATAAGGGTAACATTTATGAGAGCGGGCCAGCGGCAAGATGTTTGACCAGTGTTGAGGAGCAGATGAGGCTCCTCTATTTCTGCCTGCGTGACTCAGGTTTCACTTATCTGAATGACACATTGTCAGAAGTAAAGGATCGCGCTCCTTGGCTCTCCCAGAATCCTGTTTCCTCGCGGTCACAGCCCAGTCACACAAACATAGAAGGCGCGGTCATAATCAACATGGATGGGTGTTTCCTTTTTCACGTCCATTCCCTATTGTTAGTATCTGTTCCTTTTTTTAAATCATTTATAACTCAATCATGTCTGGAACGCCCTGGAGACCTGATTCACAAATCCAAAAGTGCTTACGAGTCCTTGAGCTCTCATTCTCCTGCGGAAGTACACTTACACGATATGTCACTTCCTAAGACCTAAATGAAGGACACAATCAGCCCGTTCCCTCTCAATAACAGCCGTCGTTAATGGTTATATTACTCTCAGGCCATTTCAGACGAGTCCCCATGGTGACTCTCATTGCAAGAGGCACGCAAAGCCATGCAAACTATGCATAGGGTTACATATTGAATGGTCTTCTCACTGAAGAATACAGTGCAACCTATTCAAACTTTTTCACCGCCTCATTTCTTTAACGTGGCCCGGAGAAGCTCCTTAACCTCCCCATTGAGAAGTCTGAAGGAATGGTTTACAGGTTAGGTTCACATGTGAAGGCCGAGCTGGATCTAGAGAATATTTGACATTCTTGAGGAATGACTTGATTCATTTACAGAACAGTGCCTTTAGCAGTGCATTGAGTTGGGAATCGATTGATGGTATCAGCTCTAGCCGTGAGCTCAACGTTACATCTGTAGTTGTTTAGTGGATGACCTCAGGGCTGTAGAACTTGGATATAATATTACAATGTAATGTCGGACCTTGATATTTAAGGCAAAAGGATTAACATTATTATCTTTTGAATGGGATTCTGTGATCTTGTTTTTCTAGCATTATAAAGATTGATTCCACTCACAAACATGTCTCCATGATGAATACGTTGCTATTGCCACGAGACCGTTAGCTTAGCTTCAGCTAAAAAAACTGTAAACCTTGGGAAACAGCCCTAGCTTTGTCCGAAGGTGAGCTCTAAAGCTTACTATCTGACACATTACATATAATCCCTCCTTACAGGACAAAGTGTCATCTTTGCACAAATGAAACCAGAGATAAAGATGGGCTTTAAATGTCCTTGTAGGTGGATTCTTCTTACGAATTTACAGAGACAAGTTAGCCTTTATGCTAAGCTCAGCTAAACAGCTTCTGTGTCTGCGACATACAGTATTGACCAAATAGACCGGTATCAATCTTTAGGTCTGACTATTGGCGAATAAGCTTATTTAGCAAAACACTTTCAGAATACGTGTTTCTCGATGAAAGAATTAAGAACCGTTGTGTTTCCATCAAGCTTGTGTTACTTGTTATTGTTTCTTGTGCTACCACGGTGTTATACCTGGCACCAAGAGTGTGAACATGTGTATAGCTTTGTTTTGGGAACCACTGCTCCCGTAGCTTAAAAAGTTGTAACTGTTATGTCTCGTGGAGCAGGGGTTTACACGGTTAATATGAGCGTCTATACTTTCCTCTGACCAAGTTGCTCATTGTGGAACTCTGGGTCCTTGCCCGTTATATTTTTAGCCTATGTGTCATGTTTTCTTTACCGCTCTGAATGGCCTCAGTTTATTGTGAGTTACCGTTGACGGACTTACTTTGCGATCAGATATCACTCACTCAGTGGTTTCTGCTGGCTTGTCTGCTCCACATATTCACATGTTCCACTGTCTGACGGTTAGGGTGTGTTATTCTAGGTTCTCCAACTGTAACGGCTGTATATAGACTGATGTTGAGAGAAGCACCCCATATGTGTCAGAGCCGCTGCTACCAGATCATATAATCCTTTTATAAACAAGGCAAGTTCGAAAATATCGCTTATTAGGGCAGTTTCTGATCACTTCTGCAATTACGTGGTCGTTTTTGGTAATCTGGCTCCCCTAGAGTGTAGATGATGGACGCGTGGGGCTGTTGGTGCTCTGCAGCTGAAAGGGGATCTTTGTTTGGCCGTGTAAACTAAATGCAGTGCTTCCCCTCTTTCCTGTGCTTTTAAGCCGTGACTTGAAGCTAGTATAAGCTGCCTTTTTTGGGCTCAGTTTTCAAATTGTACACACTTGTGGCTTTTTTCTTTTTACAATATTTGTATTGAAGTGTTCAACTATACGAACATTACACATACATAAAACGGTCAGTCTAGGTGGCAGATACAGTGTACAAACAAATGTAAATGAACACAGGTCAGTATACACCTGAAAGAATATGACGTGGGCTCCTACACTTTGTAATCTTATTCCCGTTGCCCCCCTCCACGCCCCGGTCTTTGGCTTTATTGATCATTACCAGCATTATTTTTCAAAAACTCCATGAAGATATTTTCAAAAACTGCCAGCTTTCCTTTTATGTATGTAAGTGTTTCTAAAGCAACACATGCTGACAGATCCTTAATATATGTATTCATACTTTACTCATAGCTACAAACTCTTAAGTGGAGTTTTTATGGATGAAGCTCGGCCACAGATCTTGGTTTTTGATCCCAAGCCATTGTGCTAACTGTGCTTGAAAGCAGCAGACACATGGAGGAAAAAGAATAAGGCTTCCTTGAAAATCCGCTGTCTAGACTACCCTGTTCTTCCAGTATCCTGGACACCCCTGTGCTGACGCTCTTTCCATCCAACGCTGATTGGATTTGCCCGCTCTGCAGGATTTAAGCCTGTCAGTTAGTTGCTCATCCTGTGTAGCTTCATAGGAGTCGGTGGAGCTCTGAATCACCAGACGAGTCACCGCCGCTGCTCAGACATCCCTTTTCCAGTGGGCGTCATTGAATTTGTCCAGCGCCCGCTCACAATGGGCTGGAGATGAAAGATGTCACTGGAGGTCTCTGTTAGTGCGACTCCTCTCTCTTCACCCCGTGTCCAACAGCCTCTTTGTGTCATTTTCACTGAGCATTAATAAGTTCAGTCAATACTTTGAGGGTCTTTTCATAACCCCCGCAAATACCAGACACATTTGACATTACCCCCACAGAGAAGAGAGTCAGTATGTGCATTACTTCAAAGCAGCTATTGTAAATATTTGTACACTGTTGCATGGCCTTTGTGTGCAATGCAGATGCCATTTGCTGATTACTAACTAATCAAACTTACAAAGCAGCATGTTGTTAACCTCCATCATGGCACACAGCTGACGTCAGTTGTCATTATTCACTCATGCTTTTTGTAATGGTTTTCAATTGGGCGTTAATCACCGGGGTGTGTCCGAGTAAGTGGATATTCAATTCTCTCCTCTTGAAGCAGGTTTCAGTTAGATGGACCTCCTCTTTGTGTATGCGCAGCAGGCCACTCTGATCAAACATTAACTAGAGAACTGAGAGAGATTTTACTGTGAATGGGAGTGAAGTAACTGACTGATTTTATCCCTCCTCTCTTCAGTTTAGTCATCCAGAATAACATCTATAGTAGCTGTTCTTTGTTCAGTAATTACAATGGGAGGTGGCCACTTCTTAAAACTTGTGTGTTCTTTCAAATTTAAAAGTTAGCACTGAATATTCGTACTAAGAACCCCTCAGATTTGGCAGCAGAATTCCCTTCAATGGGCCCGTCTGACTTTGAGAAAGCAGAGAGAAACACAGAGCCCTGTATGTTTACTGTGCAAACACACACACACACACACACACACACACACACACACACACACACACACACACACACACACACACACACACACACACACACACACACACACACACACACCACACACACACACAACACACACACACACACACACACACACACACACACAACCACACACACACACACACACACACACACACACACACACACCACACACCACACCAGCAGTGGTCTGTTATTCTGGTTTGCCTCGTATGGGCCCTTTACTGTGAGAACCTCTCTTTGCTCTGGGTCAGCTTCTCAACTCCTCTTTCTCATGTTTCTCCACAGCTCAATCGTTCGCGTCACCACATGGACGCTGAGCTGGAGTTTGCCATCCGGAGCCCAGCACCACCGGCAAGCAGCTTGTTCGACCAGGTACAGTCCCACCAGCTCGCTGTGTGACCGTCCTCAAGCCAACAGTGTTGACCTATCAATATGTTATCAATAGGGTTTAAAAAAAAAAAAAGAAAAAATGTTTATTGTCCATAACAGTTTTGATATGGATACATTTTTATAAGAATATCAAATACAATAAAGCCCATTCTAGTCCATTATGGTTTGTATGGATAGAGTAGATAAACTTTTAGATTCCCAGTTTAAAATTGCATTGCAGCAGCATAAAGAAACACAAGCAATTTACATAAGAAAATTAAGCACAATAAATAAACAGTCCAAAATATGTGCAGAAATAAAATAGCGTAAAATTTAAAAGAGTTTAAGAATTATAAAACAAATAAATAAACTGGAATATTTACTGCATGTGGAAAATATACAAGTGGAAATACAAATTTCCAGCTAACAAATATTAATGCAGGTATATTATCTGTGCGAAGAAAGGATTATTTTCAAAGATGAAATGAATGAGATAGTTTGTCTGTAGGTTTATGTCAAACAAAGCTGTATGTGGAATCAAGTGAGATTAGGAGGGCTGGTTGAAAGTGGATTTTGTACCAAGTCATTATGCTAATCTAAGCTAACCAATATCTGGCACCGTTAAGTAGTAACGACCACACATTAAAGGGAGTGATATGATATCCGCTCTAACTTAATGTGTTGTTTTATAGCCGTAGCAGTAGGAAAGCGGAGCAAGCGCGTCTGCCTCTCGGTCTATCATCCCTCCAAAGCTGCTTGTCCGATTCTTACATCCAGAGTCTGAACAGTCATCATCCTACAGACAGAGATACAGGGGCTTTCTCGCCTTCAATGTCCTTATCAGTCTCTTGTTCACACTTGGCTTTCACGGGGTTTATATAAATGGTTCCCCTGTAATGAAAAAATTGCGAGTTAACAAAAGGAAACAAAGATACACTCGACATTTATTAAACTCAATATGAATGGCATTATTGAATTGGAAAGCACTGCAGAGTAAAGTGTGCGCCACAATATCAATGGACAATAAAACATATATATAGATGGTACCTGACACCTTTTTAGGCAAGGTCCTCTCACTATACCAAATACATATATAAACGTTTATCAATCAAAGTGAAATATGTTGATATTGTAGAATAGAATGTTTTTAACATTGCTGTATTTTTTATTTCCTACAATCTATCCCACTCTCATCTTTAGCTCAAACTTAGGGTTGCTTTCATTGGCCCATTCCTAATCTCGATTATTTGGGTCAATACATTGATATCACACTTATTAAAACGATGATCCATTTCTTGAAAACATCCATTTATGAAAAAAAAAAAAATGTGAACAGTCATGTTTTAACAGTGATTCACCCTGACCTTTAAGTATAATATCACTGAAAAACCCAATACAAAAATGTATCTCAAAATAAAATAAAATTAATCGTTTATTTCAATTCATGTTGTTATTCATAATCGTGGAAGCCAAATGTATTTGTGCATCTAAATAAGAACTTAACTCGAGCAGCCCTAGCTCAAACCCGATAGATAGCTCTTGATTAGGTGTGTTGTGAGGATTGGTTATGTACTCTCTAAAAGTGTGGTGGCTCCTGTCACATCATCCTGTCACACCACTCAATTGAGGAATTTAGTTGTCGTTTACCTCCTTTTTGTAAAAATCGTATTTCGATGAAGCTCCTTCGCGGAAATCCAAAATGTTATACATGTAATTAGTGTAGCCTCTGAGGCTGATCATGACAGCATCGGGGGAGGCAAAGACACATTTGTTTAGCCACTTCCTTACAACTCCGTTTTTTCAATAGCACCAGTGCATATTAAATTGTGTATTTGTGCACACGCCAATAGTACAAGGTAGGTTCTATCTATTGTGATCTGTAAGCTCGTGAAAACATCTGAATATAGCCTTGAACATATCCCATAAATACGATAGAACATCTTCATTCAAAATGTTTGTGATGTTATGTGATAGTTGGATGACCCTCGCATTGTGTGCTGCATGGAATGCCCTCTTGTGTTAGGTTCTCCGCGCAATCACCACTCTGGAATAACTTATGCTTGTGGACAGTTAAAGCTGCTGATTCAGTTTATGAGGAAAGGATGAAAGTACGGTAGACGACGGAGATCCTCAGATTTCGCCTTTGAACTCTCTACCCGTTTATTTATAGAGGAGGTGAAAATTCCTGCTCTACTTGTTAGAATGGCTCTCTAATGTAGGGCCGCGCACAGATGATCCCTCTCTCCCTGTGATGGTGCCTAAGGGTACATTCAGTGCTCTGTTGATTCATAAACAAGATACAATGACCTAATTTAGGGCAAGGGAAACTTCCCACCTATGGAGACATGGAATACATTAATATCACCAATCAATCTAAAGCTTCTCCACTTCATCCTTAGTTCAGACTTAAATGTTTGTATTTCATGTCTGTGAAGTGTTCTCTTGTTTAGTAGCATATGAATTGCCATTAATCAATTTTCATACTGAAAGATTTACTAATGTTTCTCTGTGCCTTGGATTCTTTTTCATTTGCTTAACAGTTATATTGTAAATAATAAATTCCAACGTTTGCTGGACTCAAGGCGTTTCGTAAGCTTCAGTATGACATTTTGACCTCCGCCATCTTGTTTTTAACCTAAAGACACTTTTAGACCAATACATATGTGCACTGCCCATATACTAAAAGCCATCAATGTCGAAATGAAACAAGATGGATGAAGCGCAACAGGACCTCAAATAACGCGCCAAGGCTGTAATGATACCCTGTCATTCACAATGTGTGTCTAGCTTACAGAAAAAAAGACCTTTTTATTCGAAGATAAAAGCCACAATTTACAAAATGACCGTCATGCATATATTTGAGGATATCGGAAAAAAGCATATTGTTGGGCTGTCAAACAAAAATAGATAGTGTAATAAGTCAAGTGAGAAATTGTTTCGTAGACTTAAGATCAACGTGACTTCATTCATTTTGCCACTAGTGGAGTCGCCTCCTTCCTGGAAGTGAAAAGCACTTTAGCATCGGCTTCATCTTAATTTCAGACTGGTCTTTAGATTTCCAGTTAAATTAAAGAATTTGCAATATATGAAATCTGAGCAGCTGTTCAATGTCGCATTTGAATTCAGCTGACATTTTCGGTCTATAACAATGAGGTCTGTCAGTCATACATAAGAACTTATAGATTGTTAAACGGTTCTTTGGCTAGTACATCAGCTGCATAAGACGCAAGCACACCATATTTGTGTGCTTACTAGTGAAAAATGAATCCTGAATGAAACTTACGAAATGAGCCTCCTCTCCAGAGGACCGCCAAACAGAAAAGCAGTTACACCATTGTGGTTTGCAATCATAACCCTCGCTCCTGTGATAGCTGCTGTTGACAACTCCTGCCACACTTCCCTACAACAACACTCGCACAAGTTCATACATCTTCCATAAGACACTCCACTGCTGCTTGGTTTATTTTGAACTTCACCCGTCGCATTACAGGCTCTATCGTTTTACAGTCGATGTGCTGGTTAGTTCTGGTCCCGTCTAATTTTGGTGACTCTCCAGAACCAGTGCAATTTATAATATTACATAGGTTCAGACGCGCTCTCGACTCCCCAAATTAAAAAGATCCCGCTGATCTCACAACAGGAAAAAGTGTGATCGATCGGATCTTAACATTCTGAAACAAGCAAACGACAAATAATCTGGTTGCCAGGTGCAGATAGCGCAAAAGTCTAGTGGAATACTAGTGTCTCACCCAACCCCCCCTTGTCAAAGCACATTCAAAAATCTGCTTGTTCAGTCATAGAGTGACACATATTGCGCATCATTCTGTGTTGGAGTAGTGGAGCAGATACCCTACTTATTGGTAATTAAAACTTGCTCTTTTACCCTGTTCCAGAGCCTCTTTGGGCAATAATGTGGTGTGCCAGACAGTACTACACGACATTTGCTCTTTCTCCAGTTGCCCCTCACCAAAACCACTCAGGCTCCATATCTTTGTGCTGGCTCCTCTTTTCCTGTAGTCTGCGCGCTTGTACTCCACGTCTTATTAGAGCCCCAGAGGAGTCTCGTCGTCGCCAAGGCCCCCTGTGCTCCTTTCGTGCATCGCCACGGGCATTCCTCACTTTCACCACAGAGCCGAGCGACCATAAGCCTGGCGCGCGACAATAAGCCTCATCACCTCTTTGGAGATCTCAGGCCATGTTAGCAGAGACAGAAAGTCATGCAACACTCCTGGTCCCTATGTGCGCACTGCAGCTTGGTGCTACGTCCCAACCGAAGCCAGTCTGAAGAATGTAGGTAGAGAGATTAAGCTAGATGCTTTAGTGTATGATCCTTACATAGTGATTTAGGGCTATACAGATGGTAGAATGATTGCCAGAATGACTATTAGTCTATGTTGGCTGTGCCCTGTAGACTTCGTGTTCTCTTGCACCTAGATTTCAGTAGCTCTACAAGACTATTCTGCCTGCAGCGCAGGAGGAGAGCGGTACCACTGTGGCGAAGATGTATGTCCAAGATCTCTCTCTCAAATGTGGGTCCTCCGGATAGTTTGCTCCTTGTTACATCAAAGCACGAGTTTGCAGGGTCGTCGCGACCTTCGGAGGCTTTCCCCGGCGGTAAGAAGTTGTCTATTGCTAACCTTTAGTAGCATATTTTGTTCCCTGTCCGACTCTCTCTCAAGCTTTGAACATGTGGTTTTAGCCTTTGCAAGCCTCTCGCTCGACGCGGTAGGTCGATGGCTCAGCCAGCGTTTTATGTCGCGCTTCATGGGATATCTGACGATTCATACTCGCCAATCATGATACTGGATTCATAGTTTCTTATGTGATATGATACATTTCTTTATTAGTCTTTAACTTGACGTGACCCTGCTGAACCCACCTTTTTATTTGGTTTCTGGGTTAATTAATCTTACTTTTGCAGTATCTCAGTTGTTTAGTAAGAACTTATAGCAATCAGCCCAAGATCATAGCAAACACACATTAAAAGTCAAATGCCCAAGGCAAG